TGATACAATAGTTTGGTTAGATACATATTATGACTATTAATAATTTAATACTAAGAGACTATAAAATTGGTTTTTTTTAAATGAAGCCTATATAGTTATCAAAATAGATATATGGGACCAAAACTGCATTTAAGCCATTTGTTTAATGTAATAAATAATTTTGTATTATTAAAATCATTAATGAAATTAAACTTACAATTTTTAATATTAATATGATTAATTTAGGGAGGGTAACAAATTTTGTCGCTAAAATTGTATTCAGTAAATTGACGAGGGAAACAAAATTCCCTCGTAAATTAGAGAGGGGAGTATTATTTCTTCACTATAGATTTTGTGATAGGTTAATTTCATAACCATTTGTGAGGGAAAGAAAATTCCCTCACAATCATTTTGCGACATTGAAATTCGATACAAATTTAGGTTCGTCAGAAAATCTGTGACTAATATAATTAGTGACGAAATTTCTTATATTTGTGACATAAAATTTCCCTCTCTAAATTTCATTTTTTTAGTATTATTTTGAGGTTTGTGGCTCTGTTTTTGGTTGATGGTTTGTTGGAAGGGAATATGGTGAACTGGTTTGTTGTGTTTGGAAGGGTAAATACGGCCGCAAAGAGAGGTTGGACAAAGTTGTTTGGTTCGAAACAATGGGAAAAATGGTTGTTAATGGTGGTGGACCAGAGTGTTGTTGTGGACCAGAGTTTGGTATGGTGGTGCGGTGGGTTTTTATACGGTGGTTAGGAGGTTGTGTTCGGAATAGTGATGACAATTATTAGATGTGGTGGATTTTCACGGTTACATTGTGGTTGTAGAATGAGTCGAATGAGTGGCTTGGTCGGTTCTATGGTTGTCGATGGAAGTAGGGTGGCAAGGGAGGTGTTAGTTACAGTATGTGATTTCTTTGAATAAATGAAGAAGAAGATGGGAATGTGATGCTTTCCATTCTTTCTTTCTCTCAAATTTTTAGATTTGAGAAATATGAGTGGTGTGAAGAGGTTGCATGGAGAATGAAGTGGGGCCAACAATTGTTTTTTTTTCCTGAAAGTTTGGAGAGAGTGGATCGAATATATGAGGTGACGGCTGTATACTGGTTGGTTCTCTCTAGTTCTGCTCTCGTTAGTTCAAAGTCACAGAGAGTTTTTGTGTGATTGGTGACTTAAATGAAGAGAGGAGATCACGAGATTGTAAAGGGGGTGGCATCCGACTGGCTTTTTCATTGTTTTGCCTTAAGTCTTCAATGCAACTCTATTTATATTAGGAACTTTAGGGTTTTTTGGTGACAAAATGACTTAATTGGCCCCATATTATTTTTTAAAATAATTGAATGAGAATTAGAGTAAAAACAAAATTGAACTAATATTTTTTTAATTAATTTTTTCTGAATAAAAAAACAAAATGAAAAGGATTGTAAACGAATAAAATCGAACGCATGCTAAACCAAAAAATAAAACTAACACATTAAAATGATGTACACACAACAAAGTTCACGAAAATAGACAGAAAACGATCAAAATCACAACTAAAAATACTTGAATAAATAGATTATGGTTGATCGAAAGGTGACCGCAAACAGCGTCGAAAAAATAAAGTGAGTACACCAACACAACCTATGTGTACCGTAGTTTCACAAAATAGTCTAGTACAAGTCGAAACTCGAAATATTTTGCCCGTTAATTTTATGCACAATGTCAAATCATTTTTACCGATCAGCCTGTAAAACTGAAATTTCATTATGATTGAATTTTGATCAATTTCAAAAAATGCATGAGGCGATGTAAGTAAATAAAAATGCATGAAATGCGATATTGGTTATTTTTTACTTTTTAATGATGCAAATGCTAACCTAAGATTGACTTTTGGTCAACCTAATGCATGGATGACCCTTTAATGGCACAAATGCGATAAATGGTGACCCCGGGGAAAATTATGGTATGACAATTGTATATCAGTACCAACTTTTTCAATACGCCTCATCCTCACCTTCCTCTATGATTATATTTCCACTTTACTATTGTACTACTAAACGTCTTCATGCAAGTTATAGTTTATGAAATTCTAACTTCACTCTTCAACAAATCTATTTTCATTTATATAAATGAGTTTTTTAAGCCATGGAAAGGAAGAAGAACAATGAACCCAACAAACTAATATTCAAAAAGAACAAGTTAAAACAAGAGAGATACGCTGAGAAAGAAAAGTCGATAATCTACACAAAGAAGAAAGTTATTATCTTGAAAGCTTCATAACTTTTATTCTTTGTAAATCTTGTTGTATTCAAATTATGTGTATACGCTTTTAAGAAGCACTTTGTAAACACAACAACTTGTAACTTAACCAGGTTGGTTAATTTTCTTGAGGGACTAAAGGTTTAATCAGGAGCCTCGATGTCTTTGACTAATGTGTCATTGAGGTTGTAATCAAAAGTTATTTGATTAGCGGATTAAGTCATGTTGATAAGGCGAAATCACCTAGGTAGGGTGGACTGGAGGTAGCCTAGTTAATGGTGAACCAAGATAAAATCTTGTGTTCTTTATCCTTATTGTTATTGTGTTGTTTGTGTTTGGGTGTTTGAAAAAACTTTAAATCTAAAAACCTAATTCAAACCCCTATTTCTTGTGTTTTTTTGAACCTTCATCACATACTTGATTTGTGCCTGATGTTAAATATGAACATGTAGTATCTTCCAGGTCGCCACAATAAGTATCTCGATTGGGATAAAAAATATGGGCAAAGTTAGATCGAGGATTGGCTTGCAAGTTCTAGGTTGATCTTTATGGACATAGCTGTCGTACCCCGTAGCAACCCTAAATTCCACTTCCAAATCCTTCCTTTTGCCACTTTGTGGAATTTGAGAGAAAATTAAAGATCTAGATTATGGAGAATCGTGGTTGAGAGGATGACAAGTCCCATCGACTACGATACATATTTGATTTTGCTTCTGAGCACTTTTTGATTATGAGATTTGGGAAGACTATGAATGATGAAAACAAAGGCGAATTCATATTTGGTTAGAACATAAGAATCATAAGCTAATTCGCTATTGATTTAACCACTTTAGGATGTTATGAACTAGACAATCATAGGCCTGAATCTAAACCACGAGAATCTAGATTTGGTGTTTTTGAGTTTGCTCGATGGTGTTCGTGAAACAAACACGATTTTCATGGAAAATATACGAACGATAAGTCGATTCCCACAGACGGTGCTACTGTTCCATTCGAGAATCTGAAATGGATGCTCTAGCTCTGTTTAGGAACAAAAAATTAAGATAGTTGGATAAACGGTGATCTTCAATAGAGACTCCGATCTCATTTACGGTGGTACAATGTGGACCTGCATGGTTAATACTCCAACATCCACGTTAGTTCAAGATGAGTATAATGAAAGTGAAAATCAAAGATTGTATATTAATCTTAACATGTGAATTGTTTTATACCTTAGATCAAGTACAATGAATTTTAAATAGATTGGACCTTAGTCCATTGGGTATTTAGTTAGTCCGAAACAATATGAAATATAGGAATGTTATTGTCAATGATATAATATGAATACATTTTCATATTTTTTTAAAGTATATTCAACATTAATTATATAACTATTAAATGTAAAAAATTTTGTTACTGAAAAAGTTTCTGGTTTTGAATAAAACATTATGTCAAAACAATTTCTACAAAATACATACTAATATGAGGTAAATATGAAATTTAAGTTCTAGACTAACCTATTTTTTTCTTGTATGTTACTATTATGAGGTAAATGAGTTATTCAGAAAGTTAAGTTCCAGGATATTTTCTGAGACATAATTGAGTTTTTAATGACATTATTGATGTAACACCTCTATAAATAAGGGTGCCCTTAGATTCAGGCCCGACCCTGAGGTAGGGCAAAGTTAGCCACTGCCCAGACACTCTAAAATATAGGGGTCTAAAATTTTTTTTATTGATATTTATATAACATAATTCAAACAATATAAATAATAGACCCAACAAAATAAAATTAACTTAATAAAAAATACTTTCATCTTCTTAATCTCGAGGAGTACTATTTCATATCTCTCAAATAGAAACGAACCTCAAAAAAACAATTATATTTTTATTATAGGTCCATTTTGATTAATCGTCTCAGGTCTCTACAAAGTTGGGACCACCCTACTTAGGTTGTTACATAAAACACCACAAAATGTCTTAATATTCAGATATCCCATTTGTCTACTTCAATGGTAAGAATCATTCCTTTTGAATTCAGGTTCATAAAGATCACATGTCTTATCGATATGGAATTCACACTAGAGAATCTCTTGCGATACCTAAATAATTGAAGAGTTGTGAAGTTCCATTACTGTTCATCCTCAATTGACAATAATAGAAAGATATAGTTCATCAATTTTGAGTTGAAGATATTTGAAGATTTAAGGATTACGGGAGTGCATTTCATTGTTATGAAATAAAGAGTTTAATTGAGGTGGATACGACAGTTATGAGAACAACCAACGATATTCTAAAGATGTTGAAACGTTCTCAACCACTTCTTGATGAATAATTCTAATGTTAAATTTACGTCAACAAAAATATATACAATGTTACGTATTTTATGTATGTCACAAACAAGATTTGTGTTGATTTATGTTGTTTTTCCCATTTTAACAATTTTTTTAACGTGAAATAAGATGTAGGATTCTAGTTAACTTCCATATAAAATACAGAACTTAATCTCCGGATATATTCATCTATATTTTGATTTAAATCTGAAACTTGAATTTGATTGATTTTTAGTACGTCGGAAGGTTAACTTCCAATTTTAAAGATACTATTGGTTTTTCTCTAGAATGCATGAGGGGGTGCCAAAAGTAATCCTAATAAAGCCCGACCAGTTGAGATTGGGCCGGAAAGAAAAACCCTAACTGACCCATTCCATTTGGTTACATCTATAAGAACCCTGCCTCCGTAGCAGAGCGTAGTTGAAGGAAAAACAGCAGCTTCTGCATCTTCCACCATTTAAAAATGGTCAAGGGTAGACAGGGAGAACGCATTAGGTTTGTCATCTCACTCTTCCCTTCCATATGTAATGTAAGAGTTTTGTTGAACAACAAAAATGAATCTAGCATTGTTTACTGTTTCATGAATAATTTCTGAATTAATTTGTATTGATGAAGTTGATTTGATGATAGCATTTTCTGAATATTTTCATTTTGATCTTGTGTGTAATCAGGCTTTATGTCAGGGGTACAGTTCTTGGATACAAAAGGTGCATGTTTTAACCCTAGATATAGATTTTGATGTTGATTCTGTTATCTGAGCTTTATTTGTGCTAAGTCTTGGTATTGTTTATTTAGGTCAAAGTCAAATCAATACCCAAACACCTCTCTTGTTCAGATCGAGGGAGTAAACACAAAGGAAGAGGTTGCATGGTATGCTGGGAAACGGTTGGCATACATTTACAAGGCCAAGGTTAAAAGGGATGGTAGCCACTATAGGTGTATCTGGGGAAAGGTTACTAGACCTCATGGTAACAGTGGGATAGTCCGTGCAAAGTTCACTTCAAATTTGCCACCAAAATCAATGGTAACTTGTTGGTTGTTCACTTGTTTTTTTCCCCTTCTATATCCAGTTTCTTTTATGGTTTCTGAATGTTTTGGTGTTGATCTGTTTGTGCAGGGAGCTAGGGTTAGAGTATTCATGTATCCAAGCAATATATAAGGTAATTTTTCTATTTTATTGATGCGTATTGAATTTTTTGTACATTTTTTGTTGTTTCTTTGTTATGCTACGTTGAGAACTGTAATCATGATTATTTGGGTCATTTGTCACATCTACTGTTTCAACTGTTAAATTCAAAATACGGTCTTTATGTATATAATTTTTTGTTGCATTGTTATAATATTTTGACAACTGTAATCTTGTTTCATGAACTGTATCATCATGTTATGATTATTTGTGCCATTTGTCACATCCAATGCCTCAGAACTGTTAATTGAAATCGCTGACTTTATTTGTTCCTATAATCATATCAATTGTTCTTGTTTTTCATAGCCTCAAATGTTTGTTTGGTTGCTTTTCTCTTGGATGAAAACACTAATCCTTAAAATTCATTGTGTTGGCTATGTATTCTATCCATTACACTTTCTTTATCAAAAGCTTGAAATTAATTTTTTTGATCCTTTCTGAAAATGTACCTAGTTCGCTTATGCCTTTTTTGCTTAAACCTTCTCCTATATATATATTTTCATAATCATTTGTGAATCTTTTTTCTTATTTAATACTTGAAAATCAATCTTTTAGTCTTCTAGCTGAGAAAACCGCACTTAGTTCTTCTTGTTAACATTGTTTAACTTACAAAGATTGTTTCCAGGATTTTATCTGTGCGTATACCAAGTAATAATCCTTTCTGCTTGAGACCACTCTTTAAATCTATGGAGATGTGCTCCAATGTAATTGGTTTACAGATTAATCTCATTGTTCTTGAACCTTTTCATTAATTGGAAATATTCTCGAAAATCTACTGCACTTAGTTCTTCTTGGTAACTCTGTTTAACAGAAATTGTTTCCAGGATTTTATCTGTGCATATATCAAGTAAACACCTTTCTGCTTGAGACTTCTCGTTAAATCTATGGAGATGTTCTCCAATGTAATTGGTTAACAGTTTCATTATGTTCTGCTTACCAATAGTTTGTATTATGCACACAGATCATCTTGGCTACCTAATTTACAAAAATGGTTTCCCAGATTTTAGTTGTGCAGATAGCAAGTGGAACCTTTCTGCTTGAGGCTTCTCTTTTATCCATGGAGATGTTCTCCAATGTGTTCGGCTCACAATTTACTTATTCTAAAAAGATGTGATTTTGTTTCTTTTGTACATAGTAAGTTGAATATATGTGACCTGTATTGTTTTGGCTTTCACAGACCCTCTTTGATATAGTGATTAGCTTGTTCTTGTCATTTGCTTGTTTGTTCTCCATGTTTGACACAACGCTTTTGTTGTGGTAATTCTGTAATGTGTCCATCTTAAAATTTTTTACTTTTGATTTGTAGTTCTGTTGAATTAGGATCCTCTTTTTCTAATTGACCTTGAAATAACATATGCTTATGTTTATTGGTTTATTTTTGCAGATTGCCTCTACATATAGAAGGTGATGGGAGTTAATTTTGTTCCTTTTTGTAATTCTGGACAGAATAGTTCTCTTTTTGTAATTCTGACTAGAAGGAGAATGAACATCTTTTTATTTAACCATTTTGGTTTTAGTCCCCATTTCATTAATTAATGGGTTTTCTCCCTTGAATTATTTATTCTACATTAGGTCCGACATTAAACCAGACTATAACAATACTCAACACTCATCTATAAATATCATAACTTTTTTATTTTATAGTCACAACCATATATATTCTACATTTGTTAATGTTGTAATCACAATTTTTTTATACTCGTTAATAATTATAATGTATTAGATTGTCTTGTTTTTGAATATTCTTTTATAATATATTTCAATTAATCAGTATAATTTCCACATTGTTAAAGATTTCAAAAGAAATCATATTACTTTCAGAAATTATTAGCACAATTCAGTTATAGACTAATAGCTTAAATGTGAGATGAAAAAAAATGAATTTTGATAAATGATAGAAAAAAACATCATTGAAGCTTCAAATGAAACAATCAAACAAACTATGTCTCAACAAATTTCCATAGATTGAGTAAAATTTTTTTTTCAAAGATTGAGTAAAAAAATCAAATATTGAAGGACTAAGAACATAAGCACATAAGTAATTGATACACAAAATATATAAACAAAATATATAACAATATAAGTGTTGTAATATTGGGAATGTTGAAAAACAAAATATATAACAATATAAGTGTTGTAATATTGGGAATGTTGAAAGTAATTTATATACAAAAGTTGTTGTTAGAATTAGAAAATTTTGAGGCTATTACTCAGAAGCAGTAAAGCTTTTGAGTTTGTTAGTTAGAAGTTGCAAATTTCTGAAACTGCTTGGTTAGAAGCAGTAGTTTGATATGTTCTAGGAACTACTCTTAACTGTTAATTTAGCTATTAATTTTATTTTTGCCCGTGCATACGTGGAAGTTAACATAGTCAGTAAATTTTGTTTTTTGTTTATGTCAATGTGAAAATTTATTTTGTGTATATAAACAACTTTATAACTAAGATTTTAGTAAGAAAAGTAAGTAGGAAATTTTAATATATAATTTCTTCCTTAATAAGTTGTTGTAGTACAATCGTCTTTTTTTCCTTCTCTTCTTCTATTTGTTTATCTTCATCAACCTTTGTGCATCTGTAATTGGTATCTAGAGCTCTAGTTAGATTCACAGGGAACACGAGTGTACGCGAGACATGTGCAGTTGATTTCGTTGAATCTTGAATTTGCGTTGAATTCACGAGCGAAATCGTAGTAGAATTGCATTTCTTGATTTTGTAGGGTCAAAAAACACGAGTGCTTGGTGAGATCTAAGATGCGTTTGAGTTTTAGTGCACAAAACAAAGATGAGTGGCAAAAGCAATTTAAATAATAAACTTTTAGTGTTTGATAGAAAGAATTGGAATTGATGGATGATTCAAATGTGTGTGTTGTTCGGTGCTCAGGATCTGCTTGATCTTGTCACTGAAGGTTATGTTTCGATTACAGTAGATACGACAGAGGAACAGAGGATTGCACATAAATATATGAGGAAGAATGACCAAAAAACATTATTCTACATCTATCAATGTGTAGATGCAAATGTGTTTGAGAAAATCATTGATTCGACGACGACGACGGTTCGTGGGATATACTGACACAATGCTACAACGGTGACGCGTCAGTGAAGAAGGTGAAGCTTCAATATCTACGTAAGTAGTATGAGAATCTCAACAGGGAGAATAATATGAAGATACCAGATTATATTTCTAGAGTGATTCTGATCACAAACGAAATGAAATTGCGTGGGAAAACTCTTTCTGAACAAGTAATCATTGAGAAGATATTGAGGTCTTCTACCCCTCAATTTGATTACATTGTTATAGCAAATAAATATTCTAAAGATATAGACATCATGAGAATTGAAGAGCTGCAAAGCAGTCTAGAGGCGCAAGAGTTGCGTCTGACTTAGAGAAGTTCTAAAAGAGAGGTTGAGCAGGCTCTGAAAGCTTCTTTTGTTAGGAAGGACCAAAAACATTATTGGTCAGAAGTCAAGAAGAGATATGGTGGTAGTTTCGAGAAGTCAGAAGCCTTCTACTCTAATGAGAAGAAACATCAGAAGGGAAAAGAGAAGTTTGACAAAAGAATGGTTCAATGTTACTGTTGTAATAGGTTTGTCCACTTTGCTAAAGATTGTTGGTAAACAAAGAAGAAGCGAAAATAGCCAGAGGAGATTATGATGATGAACTTGTGCTATTGATGACTATGAATCTGATGAGGAATCTGTGCGATTATCATTTTCTGATTCTGAAGGAGAAGGAGAATATGAGTCAGAATCAGAAGACGACTCTGGAGATTATGAAGATGAGTCAGAATCTGAGGTTTTATAAGATGAGTCAGAGTCAGAAGATAACTTTGAAGCTGAAGACAAGTAAGAATCCGAAGGAGATTTTGAGTCTGAAGGAGAATTAGAAGGTGAGTCTAAATCTAAAGGAGATTTTGCTTTTGATGATGAATCAGAATCCGAAGTTTCTGAAGGTGAGTCAGAAGATAAAGATAAGTCAGGACCTGAGAGTTCTGAAGACGAGTCAAAGCCTGAAGGTGACTTTGAAGAAGAAGAAGAAAAAGACTCTGAAGGCGAGCCTGATTCTGATGGTGAATTTGATTATGAATTAGATTTTGACGATGATCCAGAATTTGGTGGTAATCATGACTCTGAAGATGAATCTTTTGAAGGAGGGACTTCTAAAGGTAGTCTAGCCTCTAACGGTGATCATGTTTCTAAAGGTGGAACTTCTGAAGGTGCCCAACTTATGGGGGTGGTTAAGTATCTGATATTGTTCTCAAATCAGAAAGGGATTATGTACAAGTTTAGAGGCCACAAAGAATCAGACAAATATCAAGGTGATTTGCAGAGTTTGACATGCTGCATGATATTGAAGGAACTATGAGGAATGAAGTGTTGTTCCCTTCTGGTGCTAGATAAGATGCAAAGCTAATATTCTATTCAGACTCTGATTGGTGTGGAGACAAAGTTGACAGAAGAAGTACTTCTGAAGAAATTTTCAAGCATCTGGAATGTCCCATTTCTTGGTGGTCTAAGAAGTAAGTTGTGGTTGCGTTGTCAACTCGTGAAGTTGAATACATTGCACGTGCTTTGTCTGCGTGTTAAGTCCGGAATAGATTGCTAGAAGTTGAACACTATAACACCCAGAAATAACTTAGAGATGTTCTGACGAAGGATGTCAAGACTGAACACTTTATCTATTTGAAAGATGGAATTGGTGTTGTAGAATTTTTTAATTAGCTGAATATGAATTAATGGATGGTGTTGGAAGTAATTCATATCCAGAAGTTATTGTTAGAACAAGAAGCTCTTGAGGCTATTACTCATAAGCAGTGTTACTCAGAAGCAGTAAAGCTTCTGAGATTGTTAGCCAAAAGTTATAAGCTTCTAGGACTGCTTAGATAGAAGCAGTGGTTTGATATATTCTAGAAGCTACTCTTAGTTGTTAACTTAGCTATTAAGTTTACTTTTGTTAGTGCTTACGTGGTAGTTAACATAATCAGTAAGTTTTGTTTGTGTTTATGTGGCGGTTTATTTTGTGTATATAAACAACTTTGTAATTAGAATTTTATTAAGAAAAATAAATAAGAGGTATAAAACAAATTATTGTAGTACATCCATCTATCTTTCTCTCTTTTCTTCTATTTATTTATCTTTATGTTTAACTTTTGTGCACCAACAGGAAATACATAAATGTAGAAAACACTAATATTCATGCTCTTCACAATGAAAAGTAATAATCTTTGGATCAAATAAGGATACTTCTATGAACTTTATGTGAGTAACAAGGAATGGCAAATCTTTTGGGTTGACAAAATCATACTGCATGCATGTTCTCCACAACTTATTATTTATGCAACCTTTATTGACATGTTCTCTTCCATAGATGAGTAAAAGCATAAACTTCTTTTTTATTTAATATCAAGATTGTGGAGTAATAATATAAAATCTCTGGGTTATGCGTGATTGGAGATGCAATAATTCTGTATTAATATACCCCTGATTGGTTATTGGTAGATGTCACATATTAAGAACAATAACAAGTTTCACCTAAAAAGTGATACTTATATAAGTCAAATAGTTCTCCTACTTAATAAATTATTTGATTGTTTTTCAAACAAATGCTTCTACTCCTAACATTTAATGTGGTATTACATTCATTCATTAAACAATCAAAACAAAGTGGGAAAGAAAAGAAGAATAATATCCCTAACTTTGGCTTCCCTACACTAATAGTCTGTGCTTTTTATGATACGTACGCACGTCTAGCTTTGAATTCCCCTACAGCAATGCACGACTTTGGACGGTTTTTAATTAGACAAAAACATTGGGCCTAAAAAGACCTAACATGCTTTTGCCTTTTTTTTCTTTCCATTTTTAGTTTAATTATTTGATATCATTCACAAAATTAGTTTTCTTATTTTAATTCAAACATTTTTTATCTTTATTCTCGTGCTTTTCACTAAAAATTCATGTCTGTTTTTTAATGTCATGTGTTTTATATTTTTAATTTTAAAAGTTTCCCAAGGCATTTTTTATTATTTTAAAAATTCTCTTCTCATCTTTATTTTTAAACTAAATGTAATTTATATATTTCTATCTTTAAAATTTTACAAAAAAATTGTATATTTATTTACTCACAAAATTCTGAGTATAAAAGTTTTAATTTGAGTGTTGGTCTTCAACATGACAATATCGATATTTGTTAAGTTATGACTTAAAGAATTTTGTTTTATGTCTCTGCAAAATAATCTAAAATTTAAATTAGTCATTATAATATTAATTTATGTTTTTTCTTAT